GAGAGAGAGGGAGAGCGGATGGGAGAGAGAAAGAGAGAGAGAGAGAGAGAGAGACCTAGCTATCAAGTGAGCCCAAGGCTATCAGATTTCGCCTATCAAATTCGCAGCCACAGGAGGGCAGCAAAGTTTCCTTTTTGGTGTCCTGTGAATATTCTACAGAAAATCCTTGATTTACGACCATTCATTTTGCAACCATTCAAACTTAGACAGTGCTGAAAAAAAGTCTGGTCCTCACAACCTGGTCCTCAGAGCATATATATGGTGCCCTTTTTTCCCTTTCTCTATTTTTTTTTATTTCTCACCTTTATTCTTATAATAATCTCTTGTTTACTTTGTTCTTGGTAATTTTTGTCTGGGGATTTTGGCTGTTCTCCTGATAGGTTTATACTTGGGCCAGGCGTGTGCCACTTTTTCTCTTCCATATAGCAAAAGCTTTGTTAGGATATCGATTTTAGCAGCTGGAACAGTCAAGTGTATGAGAGGCCAGAACACACAGTTGTAGTTGATGAGTTAGAGGGTGCTGACTCATGCCGTGAGGCAATCTGTGCTGTGATTGGTTGCCTAAGTATGAAGGGGACGTTTCCCTTTTTTTGGTCCGTATGTTCTCTAAACTATTTAATTTTACCTCACGAGATTCCTGTGTTCCTGACTTTCTTATCTGCTCCTGCATGAGGCAATCTACGCTATGATTGGTTACTGTAAGGATGTAGGAGGCGTTTCCCTTTTTCCCCGCCCTTTTCTTCTGGATGTTCTGTATACTAATTAATTTACCTCATGATATTCTTGTGTTCCTGACTATCTTGTCTGCTCCTGCATGAGGCAAGCTACACTATAATTGGTTACTGTAAGGATGTAGGGAGCGTTTCCCTTTTTTCCTGCCTTTTTCTTCTGGGTGTTCTGTATACTAATTAATTTACCTCATGATATTCTTGTGTTCCTGACTATCTTGTCTGCTCCTGCATGAGGCAAGCTACACTATAATTGGTTACTGTAAGGATGTAGGGGGCGTTTCCCTTTTTTCCCGCCTTTTTCTTCTGGGTGTTCTGTATACTAATTAATTTACCTCATGATATTCTTGTGTTCCTGACTATCTTGTCTGCTCCTGCATGAGGCAAGCTACTCTATAATTGGTTACTGTAAGGATGTAGGGGGCGTTTCCCTTTTTTCCTGCCTTTTTCTTCTGGGTGTTCTGTATACTCATTAATTTACCTCATGATATTATATTCCTCGACAAGCTTTTAGCAGAGTGATCCCTACCACCCTTCAAACAGCCCCTTAGAAATGGTAGAAAAGCATTGATGAAGATCAGCAATAGAAAGAACCTGGTCTCTTTGAAAGCCTCAATCCGATCCAGACCTCGGTGTTTTTAAAATATTGGGAGATGTAGTTGGACACATCAACGGATTCTGCCACATCATGGATGGAGGCGGGATGGCAGTTTTCCTGCTGCTCCGTGCAGATCCTGTGGTGGAGAGCAACAACAGAGAAAGACATTCATTTAACATGTTCTGTATCTGTGTGTACTTGTGCATGTCCGAAAAGAGCAAGGATCTGATTGCATGGTCCGGGCCACCGTCTTGACTTTGTTGACCCCTGCAACTATCCTCTTGAACACTTCCTGATTTAAATTCTTGCCTTAAAATCTCAGATCCCTATCACTTCAGAGACCAGGTGGTCAAGAGGCCTGAAGATACCAGCCAGAGTTGCCAGCAAAAAAAATAAAAAAAAATCAGCAAATCTGAGACCCCAGCGCCTTCAGGGGGAGGGTCTTTCATTCTGCTCCCTGGGAGTTCCCCCCTAATTAAAATCTATTTTTTCCGATAATTGTTCCTAGCTGCATCCATGATTCCTGGACTTAGTTGCCAGAAGACAAAGGATGTTCTGACAATCTTCCTGATGCTGCCATCTTGTGCCTGATTCAACTCCATGGACACGGTTTCTTCAGGATTTGGGCCCACCTAAGATGGATCTCCCAAATGCCCAGAGCAGCAGTTTAGCTGGTGGTTGGCAAGCTCAGTGTTAACAATTAAACTAGAGAGCCCCATGAAGCATTGACAACCAGTGCCAGGAGCCAAAAGTTGGTTTTTTTCCCCTTTAAAAGAAAAAAGAAAGAAGCCTGGAAGAGGAGAAGGAACAAGGAAGTGAAGACTTTAAGCAATGAAACGGATTGGTTGGGTCACCAAATGTCATTTGTGGGAATTAACATGTCAAAGGTTTGCCCATCCCACATTGCAAAATGTTTTACCTAATGCCACATTATACTTATGCACGCACGAGTGCATATGTGCTCCTGTGTGTGTGCGCGCGCACACACACACACACACACACAATCCTAGTCCCAAGGTGGGACTAGAACTCATAGCGTGCTTGTGATTGGCCCAAAGTCACCCAACTAGCGTTCCTACCTAAGAGAGACGTAGAACTCTCCGCCTCCTGGTGATTGGCCCAAAGTCACCCGCTTGGCGTTCACACCTGAGACGGGACTACAATTCACCGTCTCCTGCTTTCCACCCTTGTGCCTTAACCACTAGACTGAACTGCCTCTCAAAGATGGCTCACTTCCCCTACAGAGCTTGTCGTCATGAAGCCCTCGTGATCTCAAATGTGTACGACACTACAGGGAAGGGAGAACCATGCGTACACAAGTGTTCTCTTGACAAATTGTTCTCTTGACTCCAACACTCATTTCCTCACCTGCTACCCTCCAAACAAGCCTGTTGGCATTTGAGGTTTCCAATCATCTGGAGGGCACCAAGCGCGGGAAATTGGAGCTACCTGGAACAGTAGGAGGGGTGGCATGTCTGTGTAACAAATAAGTAAGTTGCAAAGTGGTTCTTGCCTTTACTAAACTAAAATAGAAAAGGTCCCAGAGTCCTCCAGAGACTGAGAAGCAGGGCGATTTTTCGCTCTTGCCGACAAACGGCTGATTTTGCTGCCCAAACTGGCTCTTTGGCGGCACGCTCCCCAGATTGAAACAGGAACAACTAGGAATAACCCAAAGTGACCTTCAGATGTTCATGGATCTACCTGTGAGGAGGAATTTTGAAGGTTGCAAACTTTCGGTAGGAGCGGCCAGAGGGTCAAGTCTCTGCCATTGCTTTCTGCTGTTTATTTGTTTTAAGCACCCCTCGGTTTAATTGCACGTTTTCACATTTTCTTTTCCCTGTTGGTTTTTCTTTTTAAACATTAACGTAAAAAAGGTTCTTTCCATCTTGGCCTTTATTTCGTCACCAACAGAACGGATGCCAACACAACCACACCCTCCTCTTTGTGGGTCAGTGCGAAACCCAGAACGTGGTGTGCAAAGCATTGCAATGAACCCAAGGCTGATTTGTTCAGTTTTGTCCTGGCAAAGTGTGCCTTCTGTGTGCTGTGAAATATGTCCGGGGGGGGGGCTTAGGGGCTGATCCTAAGGCATCCTGAAAATGGGGGGGGGGATGGCTTATTGGTTGATCTTTGCCAAAAAAAACCATTGTGGACTTCTGGCTTTTAGTCAGCTTCAGCCGTCCATCCTAAAACCTGCCCGGTGTGCTTTGCCCAGGCAGAACCAGAACTAGAAAGGTAGATTAAAATCTCTTTATTTATGTACGGGAGAAAGGAAGGGCTCCTTTCCCAAAAGAGGAGGGAGGGGACCCTTTAAAAGGCAGGAATTGCTTTATAAACATATTGGGTTTTGATTGAGTTTTTTCACGGGCTAATATCATTTTCCGCCTCTGTGGTGTAGCTCACGTCCTCAATAACGTTTGTATGCAGTGTGGAACATTTCATAGCATCCCATAATATTCTTTGTACGATGTTCTCCGTGCTCCTCCTCATATTCAGGAGGCTTGTTTCCCTTATTCTAATGAGTCAGTCAAGTTCGGGTCGATGTACGATAAAGGAGAATGTACCAGTTGCCTTTGGCCACAATCATTGTTGGTCAGTCAAAGCAGCTCACCACCCTTGCTCTGGAGATGGACCACAGGCAGGAGGCATCTAGGTCAGTGGTTCTCAACCTGTGGGTTGGGACCCCATTTGGGGTTGAACGACCATTTCACGGGGGTCCCCAAACTACGCAGTCCGCCATTTTTCCCCCCTTTTCCTTAGCTGTGCTACTCCCTTTTATTCTATTGGCTTTTGAAAGCCAATAGAAGAGACTCTCTTGAACAGAGTCTAATTCTATTGGCTTTCCAAAGCCAATAGGAATTGTCCAGGCTGTCTCTGCCCTGCTGAGCCCGCCAAAAGTCCCATTCTGCAAACGGTGCTGCATCAGTTGAGTAGTCCTCGACTTACGACCGGTTGGGGGTCGCGGCATTAAAAAGGTTGAGAACCACTGATCTAGGTGGTCTTCCTCTGGCTTGGCATAGCAATCACCCAGCATCCCCCTTGCTTCTGCTTGCCATTTCCACAATGGAGACCCTCTTTAGGAGGATAAGGGACGCTGCCCCCCAAAAGGATATCCATTGCCTTCTCCAGGTCGAACATCCCACCCTACGCAGAATGTCGCAGTAAGGTAGTAATTAATTTGTTCATCTGAGAGGTACAATTTTAACCTTTTTAGAGATACATTTAGCCAGGATTATCGAGTCTTCACTGACATATTGCAATACATTTGGGGGGAGCAAGAGTAGGCGTATTCCAACGACTCTATGACTCCCTGCCTAAATAATTTTTCATTTTGACTGAAGACATTACTTGGATGAGTAACCACCGGTCTCAGTTTAACACATTTTGGTCCAGTCGCTATGATTTTAACCTTTTCTTTAACATGCCCACAGTGGGTATCCCCAGCACCAATCAGCTTTGGGGACAAGAAAGTGGGGCTGAGGCCCAAAAGATTGCCAGCCCTCCAGTTCGGAGGAGATGGACATGCAAGGAAGCATCGTAGCATCAACGGATGGTCCTTCTAAGGAGCCCCCCACCCCCACTCCTTAAGGCCGAGCCCTGCCAGGAAGGAGACTGGGGGGTCTGGAGATTTGGGCCTGAACCCTCTCCTGGGGGCCCCAAAGAAACAAGGCCAGTCATGCTAGGCAGAATTTATTCGACCTTCTGGCCCATCAGGAGCAGCAGAACCAGATCCAGCCACAGAGAGCATCCACTGAGCAAAGGGGGCAGAGCAGAGATTGCGGCAGGTGGAGAGTGGAGGTGGGAGTGGGGGGTGGGTGGGGGGCCTTCCTTGCTTCTCCAGAGTTCATCAGCTGCTTCCCTCAACCTGAGGCTGGAACTTGCAGACGAAATAACGCCAGGACCCACAACGCTGATCGTTCCATTGGAGATACCCTGGGCAGCAAAAGAGACATTTTGACCACCCAGCCACTTTCATGCGTAAGCTGGGACTAGAATTCCCGGGTCTCCTGGTGATGGGCCCAAAGTCACCCACCCAGCTTTCACGCCTAAAGCGGGACTAGAACTCCCAGTCTCCTAGTGATTGGGCCACCCAGCTGTCTTTCATCCCTAGATGAGACTAGATCTCACTCTTAGTTACTGGCCCAGAGTCACCCAGCTGGCTTTCATGCCTAAGGCGGGACTAGAACTCCCTGTCTCCCCCTTTCTAACCTGGTGCCTTAACCACTAGACCAAACTGGTTTTTCGGTTGCTCTTGTGATTGGTTTATCATTGGACTGAGCGCGCATTAATATTTCTGTTCTATACATGCTAAAAATGGCTGAGGTTTATCTCACCGTGACGGGGTAGACATCTGATGGTCTATTAAGACAAGGAAAGCGGCCACACAAGGCCAGGTGCCCTGTGACAACGGTGGCCTTTCGGAACAAGGTTAAGATGGAGCTTGTTTGTTTCATTATGAGCCGATGGACCCCTAATGAGTCCAAGACACAGTTTGACCGTTTGGAGGAATGATGGCTTTGTCCCATGGACCTGCTGTGTTCCCTTGTCTGGACAGAGTGTGGGACTGTGGCAGATCAGGGATCCAGGAGGTCAGGAAAGGTCATCAGCGGCCGAGGGGTGGGGGTTGGGAGAAGGGCCTTTGTTATGGGAACAGCTCCCACCCCTCCATCTCAGCTTACCTGAGAAGAGTGACAGCTCAACGCAGTACTCGATCCCAAAAAGATTGTCAGGTTGTCTTCGTTTCCAGGATTGGTAGCCAAAGGGGGAGCCATCACTCCATTGCCAGGTGGGTTTCTGAAATGGCTGGGAAGCCACGTTACCAAGTGAGGAGGGGGCTCTGTCTCTGCAAGGCCCAGGGGCAGAGAGAGAAAAGCTGGCAGATTTCACCGTGAAGAGCCTCTCTCTCTCTCTCTCTCTCTCCCTCCCTCCCTCTCTCCCCCTCTCTCTCTGTCTCTCTCCCTCCCTCCCCCCTCTCTCTCCACTCCCCCTCTCTCCCTCTCTCCCCCTCTCTCCCTCTCCTTATCCCTCTCCCTCCCTCTCTCTCTCCACTCTCTCTCCCTCCCTCTCCCTCTGTCTCTCTCCCTCCCTCCCCCCCTCTCCACTCTCCCTCCCTCCTTCCCTCTCTCCCCCCTCTCTCTCCCTCTCTCTCTCTCCACTCTCGCTCCTTCTCCCTCTCTCTCTCTCCCTCCCTCTCCCTCTCTCTCTCTCTCTCTCCATTCTCTCTCTCACCTTCCCACCTTCCCTCTCTCTCCATGCCTGGATTGGTGACAATCAGGAGATCAAGGGAAAGAAAGATTTTAGAAAAAAAACTACCTGGAGGTTTCCACGAATTCACTACGTGGAACACTCAGGAATGGAAAAGTGTCCTAGAGTTGGTTGGGTAATTAGTTAGTTAGTTAGTTAGTTAGTTAGTGTGGTGGGAGCGGATTACTCCTTTGTTGTTGCCAGAAATTCACGTTTCTCTTCACAAAGTCCCCAGGAGCTGAATTCAACTCCAGGGAATCTCCCCCCCTCCTTTGTACACAACGGAGCTTCTTTCAAGAGCTGAAAACTCAACAGAGCAGGAGATGAAATCCTGCCCATCACAGAAAGGAGGAATTTCTGCATTAAATAAAAAAAGGGGGGAGGAAAGAACAGCCCCCCCCAGGCCAGGCCTCCAAAGCCCCTGAGCTGAAGGCCCAGCAGAGTCTCCCCCAGGTGTGGAGGCCATCCAAGGGGCCCTCCAGAGGGAGGAAGGCTGGAGGCTGAGATGGGGGCCAGGGCAGGATCCGGCCCTTCAAGACCGCAGTTAGTCCTTCGGGAGGAAGGAAGGATTTGGGGAGGGGAGAGAGAGAGAGAGAAGGGGAGGGAGAGAGAGGGAGGGAGAGCGGGAGAGAGAGAGGGAGGGAGAGAGGGAGAGGGAGAGAGAGAGAGGGAGAGAGGGAGAGGGAGAGAGAGAGCGGGAGAGAGAGAGGGAGGGAGAGAGAGAGGGAGAGAGGAGGGAGAGAGAGGGAGGGAGAGAGGGAGAGGGAGAGAGAGAGAGGGAGAGAGGGAGAGGGAGAGAGAGAGCGGGAGAGAGAGAGGGAGGGAGAGAGAGAGGGAGAGAGGAGGGAGAGAGAGGGAGGGAGAGAGGGAGAGAGAGAGAGGGAGGGAGGGAGGGAGGGAGGATGGGAATAAAGGTTTTCTATTTTGGTTTCCAAGGCAAAAACACTGAACTTTGAACCAGAGAATCCTTAAAAAGAAAAAAAACCTTCTCAGAAACAGGAAAGGGGAATGGATGAAGATGAGCATTGGAGAGGACCTACCTTCCCTGTACCACTCAGTCCGATCCAGACATTGGAGAGGCGGGGAGGGCTGGAGGCCAGTTGGGCCACGTAAGCTGACTCTGCCAAGCTCTGGATGGAGGCCAGATGGCCGCCTTCCGCCTTTCGGCTGCAGGACCTCTGGGAGAGCACAGAGAAAGACCCTTGTTCAGCGGAGAAGGACCAAGTTGTCTCTGTTTGAGTATTTGTGCCTGTCAGAAAGGAGCAGGGATCTGACTGCATGGCCACCATCTTAACTCGGTTGGCCCCCATGGTTGCCCTCCACGAACAGGCAGTTTTTGAGCAACGCCTGTTTCAGCTTCATGAGTTAGTGTTTCATTCCCCCCAACCCCCCTTATTAAGGCCCCGGACTGAAGCCATGAGCAGCCACCTTGAGGAAAGTTCTTGGTGGAGATGCGTGGCAGGAGGGCAGGAAAACAAGCCAGGAAAGCTGCCAATCCGGCCCTTCATCGGCCCCAGATGAGGCAGCTGCCCTGTCCCCACCTGATGCCTAGAGGCAACAGAAGGACCAGCATCTGGGGGGGACAGCACAGACGATCCTGCCACCCTTTCCTGCTGGCTCCAAGGGCGGAGAAGGGAAGCTGCAGGGGGCGGAGGGGGAGAGTCCCCGGGATATCTGCCTCTCGGGGGTCCCTTTCCAGACCCCCAGCCGAGTCTCCCTCCCTCCCTCCCTCCCATCGGAGCCAGAGGGGGCTTGGGGGCTTTGCAAGGCTCTCCCTGCACGTCTCCTCCGCCTGGGCTGGGAGACCCTCAGGGACAAAAAAAGACCGCTCACCTCTGCATCGGCCCAGTTCATCCGTTGTTTGAAGACCCTGTAGCAATGCTGCTGGAAGAAGGACCAACCAGAGGGACAATCAGAATCAGCTCCTGTTCCTGTGTGGGAAGAGAGGAAGAGATAGCCAGGAAAAAAGGAGGAGGAGGGGGGGAGGAGAGGAGGGGGAGGCGGAGGGGAGGGAGGGAGGGGGAGGAGGAGGAGGGGAGGAGGGAGAGAGGAAGAGGAGGGGGAGAGAAGGAGAAAGAAGAGGGGGAGGAGGAGGAGGAGGAGGGGAGGGAGGGAGGGGCAGGAGGAGGAGGAGGAGGGGAGGGAGAGAGGAAGAGGAGGGGGAGAGAAGGAGAAAGAGGAGGGGGAGGAGGAGGAGGAGGGGAGGGAGGGAGGGGGACGAGCAGACAGCTGGTTCCGTTTAGTCTTGGTTCATTTCCCTGAAGCTGCAAGTCTGCTGGGTTCCTGTCCAGCCTCATTGGCCCATCATTCGCTGGACGGTGCTGAGCCAGAACAGAACCTTGAAGGATCAGATTAACCTTTGCAGCCCCAACGGAGGCAATTATGGCCTAGTGGTTAGGGCACCTGGCTAGAAAGCGGGAGATTTGGGGCAGAGAGAGAAGGTGGGATCTGGATGGCAGAAGGAGCCAAACGGGAATAAAAGCAACTTTGGGGAGAGGATTCTGGGGGGGGGGTCAAATCAGAAGGGGTTGGGGGTGGGAGAGCTTCGGCCTCTCCGGACACGAGGGACTCTGCTCGAACTCACCACTCAGGGAGAGGAACACGACCAGCAAGCCGAAGCTCACGCAGATGAATCGCCCCATGGTCTTCCTTCCTTCCCTGCAGAGAGAAGAGAGGGGAAGTTAAAGGGGGGGGGGGCGGGAGACCCACTGAGAATCCTCCCTGAGGAAGAGGGACCCCATATCCAACTTGGGACTGAGCAATAACACCAAAGTTGGTCTCACAGTTTTGCATTTGCCCAACTGGACCCTGTTCTGGAACTGCTTTAGTGGGATCTTGCATTGCTACGTAATCTGTTCTGGCAAGGCAAGAATGAATGATAACAAAATAACAGAGTTGGATGGGGCCTTGGAGGTCTTCTAGTCCAACCCCCTGCTCAGCCAGGAAACCTACTACCATTTCAGACAAATGGTTGCCCAGTCTCTTCTTAAAAACCTCCAGGGTTAGTGTACCCAACACTGGAGGCAAGTTGTTCCATTGATTCATTGTTCTAACCGTCAGGAAATTTCTCTCTAAATTGCTTCTCTCCCTGATAATGTTTCATCCGTTGCTCCTTGTCCTGCCTTCAGGCGCTTTGGAGAATAGCTTGACTCCCTCTTCTTTGGGGCAGCCCCTGAGGTATTGGAACACTGCTATCCTGTCCCCCCTCGTCCTTCTCTCCATTAAACTAATACCCAATTCCTGCAACCGTTCCTTATATGTTTTAGCCTCCAGTCCCCTAATCCTCTTTGTTGCTCTTCTCTGCACTCTTTCCAGAGTCTCAGCATCTTTTTTACATCATGGTGACCAAAACTGGACGCCGTATTCCAAGCGTGGTCTTAACACGTGGTATATGTGCAATATTCCAAGTGGTCTTAGCACTTCACATGATCTTGATTCTATCCCTTTATCCCTCTATTCCTCTATTTACTTATCTACCTATCATCTCTCTCTCTCTCTCCTCCCCCCCTCTCTCTCTGTCCTGCAGAGATCCCCCTATAGATCTCTTGCTCTCTGCCTGAAGGACCTTCCAGCAGATCTCCTGCTGGAACCTGGGCATCTCCTGCTCCCACCTGAAAGAGGTCCCTTCAGATGGAGAGAGACAGAGAGGCAGGAAGAATCTTCTGCAGGGGGGGTCTCACCTGTCAGGTGCCCACAGGTGGGAGAGCCCCACTCACCTGTCCCTCGGCCTCCACAGGTAGCAAGTCTGCTCAGAGGCAACTCCAGGCTTCCCTCCTGCGAGGGGAAGGGAGGCATTTATAGGCAAGGAAAGGGGGGTAAATTTCTTGGGGGGGGGAGGAAGGAGAGGGAGAGGGAAATGACTTGAGAAGGGGATTTTGGTCAAACCATCAGGAAGCATCTCATCTACGCAAAAGGAATTTAATCTGACAGGATTCACAGGCTGCCAGGATAGATCTCGCAGAGAGAATCCTGCAATTTGAAATGGTTCATAGGTCATCCAGCTCAATGCTGCAATCCAAAGGAAAGCACCCCAGACCCCCTGGCTGATTATCCCCCTTGACAAGGAGAGCCCCCCCTTTCCTCCTCTGGGTCTTGGGGCTGCTGCTGAGGGGTAGATTTCCCCTTATTGCGAGATTTTTCTAACTTTCCTTCCGACCCTGCAGGAATGAGCAGCTCCCAGGATCCCCCCAAGGGAGGGCATCCCTGCGTTGTTCCCACCATCCGCCAAGACCTCGGCCCAGGTTCAGAACAATGAAGGGCTGCCTCCTTCACACAATCTGCTGAACGAGTAGCTGGATTTTGGAGAAATGCTGAACCACAATGCAGAATTGTCTGCAAAATCCCCACACAAACTTTAAACAATGATTTTTTCATATTTCCCCTTTTAATGTGGGACGGAGTGAACCCCCTGCCCTTCTAGACTTGATTTATGTTATTTATGTCTTCCCTTTTTGAAGTGTCCCATGTCTGAAGCTGGCCCACCCTCTGCAGGGAGCAGACACAACAGCCCAACCATCCTCCCTGAAGCCCCCCCCGGTCAGACCCCCCCCCCAAGATGGAGAGCCCAGCACCTTCAGGGGGAGAGTCTTTCATTCTGCTCCCTGGGAATTCCTCCGTAATTAAAATCTTTATTTTCCAAGAATTGTTCCTAGCTGCATCCATGATTCCTGGACTTAGTGGCCAGAAGACAAAAGATGTTCTGACAACCTTCCTGATGCTGCCGTCTTGTTTCCGATTAAACTCCATGGACACGGTTTCTAGTGCCGTTTCTTCAGGATTTGGGGCCATCTAAGAAAATTGGAGATATGAAGGGAACGTTTCATGCAAAAATGGGCATGATAAAGGACCAAAATGGCAGGGACCTAACAGAGGCGGAAGAGATTAAGAAGACGTGGCAAAATTACACAGAAGAACTATACAAGAACGAGCTTAACGTCCCAGATAACCACGATGGGATGGTTGCTGACCTCGAGCCAGACATCCTAGAATGTGAAGTGAGATGGGCCTTAGGAAATCTGAGCAACAACAAAGCTAGTGGAGGTGACAGTATTCCAGCTGAGCTATTCAAAATCTTAAAAGACGATGCAGTAAAAGTGCTACACTCAATTTGCCAGCAAATTTG